TCATTGCAGAACCCAACAGGTTGGGTTTAGGTCCTATTGATGTGAACCTAAGACTCGGTATACCAATCCTTGATGTATATATATATATATATATATATATATATATATATGGTGTGGTTTCAGAAAAGTTGCAACCTTAAACAATCCAATTAAGGCGCACCTTAAAATTTTATCATAACATGTAATTTTGTTGTAAAAAATTCTTAGTATTATCTTAAAATCTATTTCCATACCTAATTAAAAAATTTTAAATTCCAAAAATAGTTAAAATTAAGTAGATCTATAAATACATAAAAATCTTGAAAATAGACGGTCTAGATAATGTGTTGCAAGATGCACTATTTCTGGGACTCAAAAACTTTTTTTGCATATTCATACTTCTCGATGTCGAGATGATCGATTACAGTGTTTTTTCAACATTAATATATATATATATATATATATATGCTAGCGTAGGTTCACTAGTCTAAAGCCACATATAGGCTCAATCTGACGGACGCAACCTCATTTCCTATTTGAATTTTAATTTTAATATTTTTGACATATCTAAATCATGTGAAAATTTAGACGACACACCAAAGTTTAGAGGTTGGTCTTAAAAACTGAGTATTGTACGAAAATGCTATAGAGAGGCGCCTGGTGTAGTAAACAAAATATTAAGGGACTAGCATTCCCATTAGTGCAATGACTCGATAATTAAGGATCCATTAAAAGTGGGAATTGAGATATGGGAACTTTTCCGCTACAAGCAAAAAGATTTCAAAAGAATATTCGCCATCTTTCCCTCCTCCCTATTTGTCCACGTTGTTGTATAAGTTCAAACATGGAATCTCAATTTCAGTTTTCAAAGACATGGCTGAGTCCACCCAGACTGGGCTTAGCGAGATACATGGACTCGGCCCCTTGCCGTGCCAAGTAGTTAGGTAAAACTCGGCTATCGAGTCAATGGGGTAATTTTTATATTTTTTAATTTATATGAATAAATAACAAAGGGATTGTATACAACGAAACCATTTACTTTTTTTTTTTGATAGACAATAACGAAACCATTTACTTTTGATACAAAGTTGATCACATTTACTTACAACCATCTAATATGAAGTTTGATAGCTTTGATGTGTCACAAAGTTCACAAAAATTTTTTTTTAAAGTTTCAGCTTGGTCAATGGAATAATTGTAGCCACCCAATTTCACATCCAATGGTCAAGATTAATGTCTGACCTTGTATCAAAGATAAATGGTCTCATTCTATACTTTCCCAAAAAAAATTGTCGAATCAATGAATAACATTTATATATGTAATTTGGATTTTTTTTTTTTTTCTTGCAATGATTTGTGAGTTTCTATTTTTTATATTTGTCTTTTTTCTTATTTTGTGAATGAAAAAGTTTATTATGCAAGGATGCAACTTTAATATGTAGAACTAAGGTGCAACACAAAAATCCATCGCAGAAGGTTGTTTTGGTGTCGGAACACCCTCTTATTGATCATATCAACATCGAGATGTATGGATATATAAAGAAGAAAAATATCTATATATATATATATATATTTCAGGTTCCAAAAATAGCACAACTTGCAATAGATCATCTAGACCGTCCATTTTCAAGATTTTCATGTGTTTATAGATCTACTTGATTTGGACCGTTTTTGAAGTTCAAAATTTTATAATTAGAGATAAACAAAGATTCCCAAGGCATCCTAAGAATTTTTTACATCAAAATTACAACTTATAATTATATTTGGAGGTGCACCTTATTTTGATTGTTTAAGGTTGCAACCTATGCAAACCCCAACCTTTTCTGAAATGTTTCCAATCAATAATCAATTGTTTTCTATATCCATCTCTCAATTTATTTGGATTTTTTTTTGTTGTTTATGGTTTTGTTCACTTTTGTAATTTTAATGTTACTTTTTAACAAGTTTTTATTTTTTTTGTTTTTTTAATTTTTAGGGCATTTAGGGACCTTTGAAGTCCACTCAAACTATATCGTGTTATTCAACTCAGGCAAGCGCCAATTCGGAAGCGCAAACCAATTTTAAAAACATTGCTCATTGATATTTCAAGCACTTTGGATGAGGAAGTGAATGAGGAGAAAACTTCCTACCTATGAATATCACCAGCTTCTAGATCAGAGGAAAGCACAACTACACTGGATAATTTCTCTACGATTAACTTATGGCCAACATTTATACATTTACATATGGGTGCGGTTTGTATGAGCCGAGGCTCTTTCAAATAGTATCCAGAAATGTGGTTTTAATAATGAAAATCTTTGTGATAGTCTTAAAATATATTTTTATATTTAATTATAAATTTGAAATTTGAAAAATAGTGTAGATAGAGAGCAGATCTATGAAAATTTGAAAATCTTGAAAATTGCCTGTCCAAAAGTACGTTACAAAATACATTATTTCCAAAACTTAAAATCCATTTTTTTCTCATGTCCATGCATCTTGATGTTGAAATGATCAATTTGAGGATATTTGAGCATCAAAACAACCTCTTGAAGTTTTTGAGGTGGGCTCTAATTTGATTGTTTAGAGCCTCTACTCTATATAAACTTTTTCCTTTACATATTCATACAGAGCATATCACAATCCATGCAAACTCTTTCTTAGAATTGAAGCATGGGGATAATTAAATATTGGGACCAAATCAAAACAATCTTGGGGAAAATTTTCTATTTCGCTTCTTTCGCTAGGCATCATAGAAGATGTTCCTCTTCAGCATGGTAGAGAGATGGCCATGAAATTAATGTTTATCGTACTTCTTATATTTTCATTTTATTATGGTGGTCCTTTTTATGTGATATGAAGAAATTATGGTTCAAGATTAAGAATTGAGAAATATATTCCACTAAATTAACCTTATTTAAAAATTCCCCTATCAAAGTTTAATATTACCTTCATGCATATTTCTTTTGGGTCGGTCTAAGAAGAAGACCTTAAACTTTCTCTAAACCCATCACATACCCGAGTAAAGGGTTGGATTGTGTTAGATAGGCAGCCAACATAAAACTTTATTAAAATTTATCATGAAGTCTGAACCTATATAATCATTTTGAGTTTATTTCTAAATTTTACTAAATTACCCTTATTTTGGGCCTTAACAGTTCGAATTTAAAAAATTCAGATTTTCAAGGTTGGAAGTTAATTTTTTCAATAGGAGCCTGTTTCAGGGCAAAATTTTAAATTATGGAACTTTATGGTTCAAATTTACTGAAGTTATTTTTTAGTTTTTTTCAACACTAGACACTAAAGGCCCCAAATTGCGAAGCTCCATTTTGGGGCTGGGGGGGGGGGAGGTGGGAAAGTGCCCAAAAATATTGTTTTCAAAAAATGGATAATAGAAAAGAAATCCCTAAAAACCTCTTAGAAGCTTTAAAATCGACATGGCTCATTAAAGGAGAATGGTTCCTGTCAAAATAAGTAAAGCTTCACTTAAAGCATTGGAAAACCTTTACATCAATCATCTCGATTTGAATATTATGATTGTGAAAAAAAATTACATTTCAAACTTTAAAAAATAGTGTATATTTTAACAAATTATCCAGACCATCCATTTCACTGTAAAAATGAGTGTTCAAAAAATCCACAAGATCTTTCCATTCTTTTAGTTTCAAATTTTATTATTGATGTTGAAAATTGATTTTAGAACCATTATAAAGATTTTCGTTACGACGAAGATTTGAGTTGAGGCTTTTTTTTGGTTTTCATAGGCCTTATAGAAACTTCACCCCTTGCTAAAATTCAGAGAGGGCTGCGGGGTAATAGGCGTGTCAAATTTGAAGCATTTAAATAACTTCAATCGTAATCAAGCTTAAGTTGTATTGCACACTTTTTAAGTAAAGGGTGGGGTTTCTATGAGTCTGCTGACTCATATATACATATGCGGCCCCCCACTAAAATTTTTTTTTTTTTAATTTTTTTTTGTAGATTCATCATCTTGGCCAAGATGATCATAAATATGAAAAGAAAAATAAACTTTTAAAATTAAAAATATTATATTTTACTATTGTTTTATGCACTGTCCATTTCTTATTTATGGACAATACATTTTAACGTCCATATTTAGTGTAAGTGAGCACTTGCGCTCGCTGACTTATGAAACAATTTTTGGAGCTAGTCTATATATCTCAGGGGTCTTCAGATGAGCTCATATGGGAATTCGAGAGTGATGGCCTATTCTCAATGAAATCCTGTTATAGGTTTTTCTTTCACAACAAATGGTGATGGTCTTTACATCAGGTAGCTATAATTTGGAAATGTCCTATTCCTCAAAAGGTGTAAGCCTTTCTTTGGTTAGCCGCCCTTAACAAAACATTAATGGTAGATAATTTGATTAAAAGGGATAAAGTGTTACTAAATATTTGTTTGATGTGCAAATTCGATGAGGAAATTGGTAATCATCACTTCATTCATTGTAAAGTAGCTACCAAGATTTGGCATTGGTTTTTGGGCCTCCTTGGTATTCAAACTCCTCTTCCCTTTTCAGTGGTGGATCTAGTGACCCAGTCTTCTTTTCCCCATATGCCCTTTGGTGGCATTCTGGTGTGGCAAATCGCAAGAGGGGTTGTGATATGGGAACTTTAGAAAGAACGAAATAGACGAACTTTCGAGGGGTTAAGTATCTCTGAAGAGTGTTTATTGGATAACATTAAACGATCCATTTGGCTCTGGTTTTTGGCTACCAAGGAAAGGTGGGGTGTTTCACAAACAGATGTTATGCTCAATCTTTGCAAACTTTTCCTCTTGGGGAAAGTCAAAATGAGACCGAGGTGTTTCTGGTCCCCACCTCATATTGGACAACTCAAGCTGAATTTTGATGAAAGTTTGTTTGGCAATCCGGGTTTGGTTGGAATCGGGGCCGTCTTACGTAATGAAGTGGGCTCTGTCATTTTCTCGTATGCTGGTCCTTTAGGTTCAGCTACGGCTAACCATGCGGAGCTAGCATCTTTATTGCAAGGGCTCAAATTTTTTATTTCCAAAGGTTTTACCAATAGTTGCATTGTTGAAGATGACCCCTTGAACATAATTGGTTGGTGCAAGAAGGAATTGCGAGTTCTTTGGAAGCTTAGGTCGATATGATTGGAGATTATGGATCTTGTTGCGCCTCTCGCTATTTCCTTTTCTCATGTGTACCGGGAGGCTAATGATTTAGCTGACTCCCTTGCTAAAGGTGGGGCTTCTTTGCCTTCCCTTAGGTTTTCGATTGATGTAATTTATTTCCAGTAACTACCATTAATAATATGATGAATCTTTGTCAAAAAAAAAATTTCCTCGAGTAAAAAACTATCGTGAGTCTACTAGCTTATGGAACAGTTTAGGCTGGACTTCTAACGTTCAAAATCACAAATTTGAATGCCCGATATGTATTCACAATTTCACGCTGTTTCTATTTTTTATCCTCTTTAATAAATTATTTTGACCTAAACTGTTAGGGAGCCATGTCATCACTTTAGCAAAAATACATAATTTGCTAAAAAAAATTAAACAAAATAACTCCATTCATTTTGACGGTCAGCTGATTCAACGGGTCAAGCCCAAGGCTGCCTCAAGCCCAAAATGGCTCTAACCTAGCCCATGACCCTATAGGACCAGCCTCAGACCATGCTGGCCGAGGCTGGGGCACAGGGCCCCTGGACCAGGTCCAACTTTGCTTTGTTAATGGGGTTGGGCATGGCCTTAGATATTGATTAATTTTGTGTCAACTTTATACTTTCAAAGTAAGGCGCACCTCAAAAATTCTTCTATAAAAGGTGGTTCCAATTCTGAAAAACACCCAAATTGATCATCACAACATCAAGTTGTATGGAAATGAGAAAACAAAAATAGAAAATTACTCAAATAATGAAAATAATGCCTATTGTAAAGCATTATCGAAACTGTCTAGTTTCAAAAAAATTTATTTGTTCATAAATTTACTCAATTTGCAATTTTTTGTAGATTTAAATTTCATAATCAGGGATGGGTGACAAGATTTTTATGCCATAATAAGGCTTTGCAGAACCGAAACTGCATTTTTTAGCATAGTTTTGGGGTGCATCTTACTCAATAATATGAGATTCCCTTGCAAATTTTTAGGAAAACTAAAAAATTAAAAATAAAAATTTATTTTGTGGTCATTTAATCGAAACCATTGCAGGGTGATTGTACATCCTCCAAGCCTCCATAAGATTTTGCGGCATTAATTTTTCTCGAGAGAACTCGCAAGGTATTTTGGAATAACAAAAGCATTTTTAAGAAGCAGTTTTGCCTTTCTGAAGTAACTAAATACTTGCTGAAGAGCACGATTACACATAGTCCCTCGACCAAAACAGCAACTTAGGAAGACTCTTTCATTTTGGAACTTTTGGATCCACTTTAGATTCATTGGGTGAAACAATTGAATCCTAGAAGTTGGATTTTTGAGTTTTAAAAACTTTGATCTGACTATTCAAAAATTGGATGGTCCTTGTACAATTTTAAGACATTGGTTTCTGGAGATGCATACAAAGTATGTTCGAATTGTTCTCAATCTTCTCTCTTTTTTATCGAAGTTTATCAGTAAATTGAAGAGGTCATATCTCCAAAGTTTGATCGCCAAAAGGTACTCAAAAATAGGATTTTACTTGCGAGAATGAACAGAAAAATGTCATATAATCTTTGCAATAACTATTTGGAAAATAATCTTTTAATTGCATTTAGTGTTCATGTTTTCGAGTTTTACTACAATGCAGAGCGATCCGATTATTTTTTAGATGATAACCATCAGCCTGGCATCATTCGTTATTGTCATTGTAGTGGCTACAGATCATCATACTATAAATCTTCCTAATCTTTGGCTCTAAGGGCAATTTGGGTTTCTACCAGGCCCTCCATAGTACATGAAATCACCCCAATTTTTACCACCTTGCCCCCCAATTTGAACACTATAGCACTCTTCCTTCTCTGCAATTGTCTTTAGGCCCTCAGGTCTTCTGAGGTAGTTAGAGCCATCCACAATTTGCAGGTTGCTGATGAAGGCAGCCTTCTTCCAGCCCTCACTTGGCCAGTGGCCGCTACCCATCTGAGTCGTCGTGTGCTTCCCATCTGTTTGAAGATCGGTGACCTCCCCTCCCCATTCAATGGAATTTGCAGAGCGTGCTAAGGATGTGAATAAGGAAGAAGGCCAGTATCCCACCGGCTCGTCCTTGTAAATCATCCACCAGTTTGCCGTCTTTGGGTCCTGTAAGCCACACACATGCACATAATGGCACACATCCATACACACATGCATTTAAGCGCATTCGAGCAGGCATCCAAATGCAATCAGGATCGATATGAAGAGCCATATGCACGACTCAAGCTTCTCAAGAAAGCCATTTTTCCTCATTCAACTGAAAATGGGGATTTAACAACTTCCGTCACAAACAAAAATATTCAGTACCTGCTAGCCTAACAGGATTAACACAAGTAACATGAACAATAGCAGACTAACCATGGCTTAATATGATGCTTGGTTGATCGCCATAGTCAATTATTCGGAACTGGTGATGGATGTTCTGTTTGTGTGCAGTGCACCACACACATCCACTTGTATTTAATCCATAGAAATTGTGTGTCAGTGGCTAGGATTGGTAATTTGTAGAATCAGAGGAAAATATTCTATCAAAAGATTAAAGACATCAAATAACTAGAACCTCCCCATTGTCTTCTATTTTTATTGAAATGCCACGTGAAATCACACAACCGTTTATGCTATGCAGTCTCAGGGATAGTACACTGGTACAATAATTGGGTATAAGTGAATTTCACATGCACTTTGTTTCATTTAATCCAAAAATATAACATTACCAAGTAATTAAAAATATATATTATGAAATCATTATGTTTTGATATATAGGTGCATGAATTTGAGAATTTAAGTCTGAAAATATCTATTTCTAAGGAATAACATTACTTTTTTTAAATTATATGAGTACCTTATATATAAGGATGATTATGTGATACTGGTTTCCTCCATAAGAAGAAATGGGCACAATCTTCGCACCTAATGCTATATCGCGGCTAGTCTGGATAAATCCTGGACACAAATGGTTGTAGCACCCTGTATGTTTATATCCATCTCCCTGTGACACAATCATTCCATCAAAAAATTCCAATTGATAAACAAGAGGAATTACCTGAATTTATTTGCATGTGAAGAAAAAACTAGTAAAGTGATTCTATATGATGAAGTTTTATTTATGGCATTTGATTATTGCACATGGCAATCTAACAGTCCACTTTAAACTTGGATGCTTAAAAGATGATGAGAACCAGCTCGACTAGTAAATTGTGATTAGTTAGTTATCCTCTTGCCTATAATAGTTGATGCAATGTGCAGTAGCCGGCAACCAGTATACTAGGTTATTGCCTTATGAACTACTAAATCAGCAGAGCGATTAACAATGAAGTATGGGTAGAAGCTTACAGTCCAATATGTAAAGATCCGTGTGTGATTGTCTCCGTTAACATCTGGATATGCCTGTAAAACATGGAACAACTTAGAGAATGATACTATACCACTTTTTCCAATTATCGTTTCCACTTGGTCAAAAGATGCTATCAGGGAACAGTTTTACGTACAAACACCAATGAACTGATCATAGAATATGGAATCCAAAGGTTAGGGCAGTTTATTCAAGGTCTCTGAACAGGCATAACAACAATGTCAGTCATCAAAGGAATGGCATACTCTTGGGTGACTTAAATACTACTAAGGTCACATATTTCAAAAATAAAAATATATGTAAGAGTACTTGGCACTATTTGACAGAGTTCCAAAAAACACATGTTTCATATGCAGGCACACTTGCAGATTGTTACATAATCTCCTCTATGTGTCTATAGTGAAATTTTCAACTAGAAATGGCTTTGAAACGACCATTGAATCTGTTCTTCAAAATGGTAGATTCACTGCAAGGCAATTGGTAAAAATTGGAATGAATTGTGAGTGAGAACCAAGTGCATAAATTAGCCCCATGATTGAAATAACCACAATTGATTCGCAAATTGTTTTGTATATGACTAATTGATTCAGTGTGTCTTGGCACAGTGGTTTTGCTGCAAATGGTACCCGGAATGCACATTAATTGATTATATCTAAAATAGATAGGAACATAATAGGGCTTCTCTTGACTAGGCTTAAGTTAAAGTTACAGTCCTGAAGGTAATGTCCAAGGCTACCCTTGTTGTTGTTTTGAGTCTTGGAAACTTCATGGGCTGAAATGATATGAGATATTAAAAGTCGAACTATAATAAAGCATGTGTACCATCCATCCTGCTTCAACACTGTTGAGTTCTTCATATGGACCACTCAAGACCCAAATTTGAGAAAGACTGAATTCATTGGGTTGTGTATGCGGGTTCCAAACTGAAAGGTTTGCTTTGGCTCCGAAATACTCACCCCCCTTCACATACACCACTGCATGCTGATAATTTTCAGAAACATATACAGACTTAGAACGAATAATTCACTAAATTGGGCAAAGAATTTAAAGGTGAAAAGTGCCTCAACGTAGGAGGTAACAAGCAAAATGAGTGCCAATTGCTAAAGAACAAAAGGAAAAGAAATGGCATTTATGATAAAAGGAAAATGAGTGCCAATTGCTAAAGAACAAAAGGAAATGAAATGGCATTTATGCTAAAATTTTATTTGGAAAATTATGGCAATCAAGCCGATTTCTTTTCTTTCATTCTTTATTTATCTTAGAAAAAGTTCAGAGCCGACCCCCAAATCATTAGGATAAACCTTGGATGATAATGATCTTAGAAAAAATCAGCATAGCTACATTAATTTTTCCATTAAAATAGAGGATTTAGAAATTTTGGCTATGTAGAATAAACAATTTAATAAAATTAAAAGTAATAACTATTATTTATGATATTTAGGACTTCAAAATTTGTAGCTTATTTGGCTGAAGATACCTCAAAACAATAAGGTTGTCCAATAACCTGTTTGGATTTTGAAAAAGATAGTGATATATACTTCATTGGTAGGGAACATCATATTTAGGTCTTGAAAGAAAGGGATTGAAGAGAAAAAAATCCCTTCAGAATTTGTACAGGCATTTGAATGGTTCAATGTGAGCACTATATCAACCATAACATTCATTTATTTGCATTTTCTGTGATTATAGATATAAGTCTTGATTTCCGATTCTCAAGGAAGAATCAAATTATTTATAGCCAATTTGACTGTTCATGAAATTCAGCAAAATGCTTATAGATAAATTCAAATCCTAGACTATCACTCAAATCAGTTATTAAATAGGCCAATATAACTATAATCTTAAGGGAACACATATTGTTAAGGATCAACAAAAAGAAATTTAAATTGGTGATTTTACCTCATGACCATCCCACATGCTAACATCAAGTTTCTTTGAAAATGGGTGTTTCTTCTGGAGATTTTTTATAGATGAAACATTGAACATAGCATCTCTTGTCATCCTGCATATTGGTATTGTACCCGGCGGGCAAGTGTCCTTTCTGTTCCACGATTGAAGGTTCGAACTCTTAACTTTCTTCTCACTAGTAAATCCTACCGGATAGGAGCTTGGTTTCATCTACACCATAGTGAAAGTTCATAAAGCCGATGGTATGAAATGTGATAATGGCTTTTCAAAAAAAGAAGAAACTCTAAAGGCTTGTTATATAATGTAAGTGAGCTGATATTTAATACGAACAACAATTCATACAATTGCTATGAATGTTTTAGTCATATTATGAAAGCATCACTTGCTAACAAGTTTATGTATGAATATTGTGTGTGATATATCTTGCTAGAGGAAGTGCAGTGCACCTTTAGGTTCACTTCCACTTTTGATGGGTTGCATATTTTCTTCATCACCATACATCATTTCATTGGATGTAAAGACCTTTTTTTTTGTTTTAAATAGATCAGTGGGGAATATAAGCCCCTACCAATTTTAGAAATAGCAACTAGTTTTTGTATGCGTCAGTAGAAATAGAAACCAAGATCAGTAGCTGAGGCTTAGGTAGTGCTACCACCACAGCCTCAACCCCATTCGGCGATTACCCTTAATCCTTAGGATTAGAGTAGATATTCCCTTTTATGAATGTTCAAGGCAAGTTGCCACGTGGGTTGTGTTTGTAACTTTGTATTACTGTGTAGTTGTACTGTTCACTAACATTCAATGCAACTGCAAGCAAAAACAGGTACTTTTTAAATTTTTATTGTGAGATTAAACGGATTTAGGGCCTCATTTTTGGATCCAAATCCGACCTATGAGATCCAAATCTTGAATCCATATCTGAATCCAAATAGGATCTAAAATTCAAATTTCAAATCCAAACTAGGTAAACTATGGGCCCTAATTCTAATGTCCCAACCCTCTCATTCTCCTATTACTTTACCCCAAATATCAACAATATTTGTAACTTTTTAGGCCACAATAAAGTGAGAAAAGTTTAAAAGCTGATATAAATGTCCATGGTGTACATGATAATATAGTGTACAGGATGATATTGGACTGATATAAGCCAATAATGGCCGATATTTCAGATATGAAACAGGGAAAATAAACTAATAATGACTTTAAAAAGAAACGGGTCTACTTTGTGACATTTGGGAGAAAAAAAACAGATATGGTGGATTTTAAGTTTGTTATAAAGTATTTATAATAATTAGAGTTTCAAAAATATTATTTCTAATATAAAACGTATTATTTCTAAATATTAGAAATAAATATTATTTATAAACAGAGGATTTTAAGTTTATATTTTCTAATAGAAAAACCCCAATAAACAGATATAGTAGATTTAGTGGTGGGTATTCGGCTACATGTTTACAGAGTTAACAAAAAAAAACAAATATATAGATATTTTATATGTTATTGGGATTATTTTATTAGATATAAAATAATAAAAATATCTCCATACCCCCTATTTTCAAGTTTTATTTCTTGATAAACCTCAGGGTTCAAAATATATCTTCTAACCCCCTGGCTACTTTAAACCTATTTTTTAACCTAAACAAATGTGAGAAACACATGTTCTTTCTAAACACAATCTTTTCTCTCTCTTCACATATATATATCAAACTTCTTTCTTTTTCTCTCTTCCTGTGTCTCTCACTCTCTCTCCTCTCATGTTTCTCCAAACACCTATTTCTCCTTCCAGTAACATCTCACCTCCATAGAGCCATTCTCTCTCTCTAGAAGTTTGGGAAGATGGCTTTTAGAAAATGCATGTCTTTTTAGACTTGTTTGGCCTAAAAAAACAGCTTTAAATTGGCTCAGGGGGTTAGAAGAAATAAAATCTACAGTTTTTATGCCCCAAGCTATCTTTTAAAACCTTGAGCGTATTGTGAAATGAAACTTAAAGTTAGGGACTATGGGGATATTTTCCCTATAAAATATATTAGAAATAAATATATACTGCCCTATTTTGTTGGGCGAAATGTCCCCAACTAGTAAATCAATTTTTTTCAAATACCATATTTTATATAGGACCCGGTTTCTATGCGGCCACGCGTGCATATGTAGGAATGCGGGCCTATTAATAAATCTATTTTGTTGATGGATTTTAAGACTTAATTTTTAAGGACAGGTAATCTCTAACATAGAAATCATGAATATGAAAAGTAAATTAACTTTAAAAATTAGAAGTAATAATTCTAACAAGAAAACATTTGGACTATTAGTTTCTATTGTTTTTAGATGAAACACCTACTTGCATCCATCTTTAAGATGGATGCTTAACACTTTCTAGACCGCATATGTAGAAATGCCATACAGCCTGCAAGAAACAATTTCCTTTTTATATATGCCTTCCAGCTTTTAGATTTCTTAAGCTGTTTTTAGTTTAATTTGAATTCTACTATTGAAATTTACTATTTTATTTATTTTTAATAATTCTTTAAAGTTTCTTGATTTCTTAGTGCTTTCAAACTTGTTTCTTTTCAAACTTTTAATGTTTCATAGACAAACCAACAGAGCCATGAAAAAGAACAACCTGGACACTGTGATTCTTGAGGAGAGGGTGATCAAAAGCCGGTTGCTTATAGAAATCAACACAATCAACCACGTCTTTATCTTCACTCTGCAAACATGCAGCCGAATACCCGCCACTAAATCTGGCAATCTCCCATTAAAACTACAAATTGAAAGAGAAAAAAACATGAAACAAGGTACAACAATTGACCTTAATGGTTTTGATAATGGGTCTGTTCTCTAGCTTCAAATGTTTTCCAGCTTCCAATTCTTCTCCAAGAGTGGCCCTTCCTCCTCTAACATCATGACTGATAAACAGTACAAGAATCACAAACATTTGTGCAGAAATCCACATTTTGCAGTCCCTTCTCATGTCAAAATTTTCGACGAAGTAGGAATGATAATTTCAAAATATGAGCAGATTAATGCAAGGGAAGAAAGCCAATGAAAATGGAGAAGAGAATTTTTGGTGGAGAACTTCCCACCAAAGGATTTGTAGAAGTGAGGAAGGTGGTGGCATCCATGATGGAGCTTTTCACAAAATCCTTTGAATTTTGAGTTTGTAGTGGTGAAATTGGTGCACAAAGATTAGTAAAAGAATCGTTAAATTTCCATTATTGGAATGCAGTGAGATTATGGTATAAACAAAAGGGGCAAGAGAGAAGAAAAATAAATGAAAGCAGTTTGATAATGTTTCAATTGATGGAAAAAAGAATGCGTGGTCAAGCAGGACAACTCTGGGTGCCCAAACACTAATTTATTTGCTCTGAACATGTCCAGATCGTCTTTATTCAATCTCTAGCAAACAAAATATCATCTAACCGGACACGGTTTCGGGGTCCGTTGGGGGGGTTGGCCCCCACCCATATAGCCAGTAAAGGACTGGCCGGTTTTGTGTACAAACTAGCTCATATTTAAATATGGGCTAGGTTTTTATAATGTTGGAACTTTAAACAATCCAATTAAAGCGCACCTCCAAATTTTATCATAATATGTAATTTGATGTAAAATATTCTTAGGTTTATTTGAAAATCTATTTTTATATTTAATTATAAAATTTTAAACTTCAAAAATGGTTAAAATCATGTAGATCTATAAACATATGAAAATCTTAAAAATGGATGACCTAGATAATGTATTGCGAGATGCACTATTTCTGAGATTCAAAAAAAAAAATTTCTTATATTCATACATCTCATTCATTATGATCCTATTTTTAGAAAAAAAATATTAAAATTCATATAGTGATATGTATTCTGAACAATATGATGAAGATCTGACAGCAGGAATTCCACCTATATTACTATTCATTATAGTTGTCCAGCTATTATTAACTTTTTATATAGATGGGGAATGATTTCATACAACAATTGTATAGTAATATAATGTAATCACACTTCTAGAACACCATGTTTGTAGCATTTGTATCACCCAAAAAATTGTACATACCCAGCATTTATAGGCTACATATGAGCTCAACGGCTCAGATTGAATATGGATTGAATATGGACCGATCTGACGATCATGACCTTATTTCGTGTTTTAATTTTATTTTTTTTTACAAATCTAAATCATATAAAATTTTATGTGTTCATTCTTCTCATCAAGACACACATAATAAAAATAATTAAAAAACTAAATTAACCAAAATACCCTTAAAATATTTTGGAGGTATTTTGGGCAATTTATTTTTTTCAAATTATTTTTTTGACATTTTTATTATATTTTCTTATTTTTAAAGAATCCACATCCAAAATTTAGAAAGATTTAAATTTGTACCAAAAAATTAAAATTCAAATACGAAATGAGCCCAATGGCTCAGATCGAATATCACCACAAAAATGTTGTGTATTACCCAAAAAATTGCACATACCACAGGATTTATAGGCTACATATGAATCCAATTTGAGCCGATCTGACGGTCACGACTTTATGTAGTATTTGAATTTTGATTTTTTCTACAAATCCAAATCATAATAACTTTTAGATGTTCATTCTTCTCATCAAGGCACATCTAATAAAAATATTGAAAAAATAATTAAAAAACTAAATTTACCAAAATACCATTAAAAGTTTTGAAGGTATTTTGTTCAATTTATTTTTACAAATTAATTTTTTAATACTTAAATTAGATTTTACTATTTTTAAAGAATCCACATCCAAAATTTCAAAAGATTTGAATTTGTAAAAAGAAAAACTAAAATTCAAATATGAAATGAGTTCGTGACTGTCTATTCAGCTCAAATTCAATTTGAGCCGTTGGGCTCATATATAGCTATGAGCTAGTGGGCTAACCTCAGTCTTTATATATATATATATATATATATATATATATATAATT